GGGAAAGAGGAATTGCTTAACCTCATAGTTGAGGAAACTGAAACTCAGAAAGTAATTGGCCCAAGGTCACACTGCTAGTAGGTGACAAACCACTATAAGTGGTATTGAAATAAATAAAGGTATATTAATAAAAGGAAAAGCCTTTATGTGAGCTCTTACTGCTGCTCTACTTAAATTATTTTATTTTGAGCATTAAAAATATTTTAAGCAATAAAAATATTTACAAAAGCATATTTTCTAGTCTCATCTATTAAGTCATCAAAATTATTCTGCGCTAATAAAATATACAATTCAGTCTTTATAACATCACTTAAACATTTACCAACCAATACACATTCTGAATTTGCTACCCTTGAGTGAGGTACACTTGTACTTAAAAGAAATAAGCTTGTTTTCAATTCCTCCTTGTATTAGGAGTAGGCAACTGATTTTTCCAAAATTCTTTTTCTTTAATCTCTACGTAATCAAACTTGACCCAGAAAGAAAACTTGGATATCAAACCACCAGCTACTCTAAAAGAGTAATGATTTGATTTGAGAGCACCAATTTACTTCATACTTCCTTTGCAAAAATAAACAGAGGACAGGCTGAGAACTGAGCAATATTTTCCATGGATTTCAGATATGACTTTATCATTCACCTTCCTGAAAAGACACAGAAACCATTTCTATATTAAAATTTTCCTATACAACAGACTTTACAACAAGGTCTCATAAAGATCCATAAAAAAATTATAAATCATTTGGGAACATTTTAGCAGATATGAAAATCACTCAAACCTTACTCCTAACAATCTTGTACTTGTACCTTTCAGTAAATAAAGAGTATTTTTCTTGTGTTTTCAATATTTTCTTATCATTAAAAAAAGAAAAAAGATCTTCTAAGGATATCCTTATAATTGCTTTCACATGAAAGGGTGTCATCTCTAAGAAAGTAGCTGAATGAGTACTCAGTTGTTTAAAAAATACACACACACAGATGGTAACAATCTGTATGCTATATGAATCCTTGTTAAATTTTAATGTGCATTGAATCACCCAGTAATCTTGTTAAAATATAGATTCTTATTCAGCAGGTCTGGAATGGGGCCTGAGACTCTGCATTTCTAACAAGCTCCCAAATTTTGCCACTGCTGCCGGCCCACTGACCACACTTTGAGTAGCAAGGCAGAGAAAATCATTATTTCTTTGGAAACATACTCAAAATGCCTGAGAAACAAAGACGGCAAAAAGCTACTTTCAGAAAGTGGAATATGAACAGTGAGAAATACTTGACACACTAAATGCTCAACAAATGCTTGCTGAATTAATGAATGAAGCATGGGCTTCCCTGGTGGCTCAGTGGTTAAGAATCCGCCTGCCAATTCAGGGGACACGGGTTTGAGCCCTGGTCTGGGAAGATCCCACATGCTGTGGAGCAACTAAGCCCATGGGTCCCAACTACTGAGCCTGCGCTCTAGAGCCCAAGAGCCACAACTACTGAGCCTGCGTGCCACACCTACTGAGGCCCGTGCACCTAGATCCCATGCTCCGCAACAAGAGAAGCCACTGCAGTCAGAAGTCCACGCACTGCAACAAAGGGTAGCCCCCGCTCACCACAACTAGAGAAAGCCCGCACACAGCAACAAAGACCCAACACAGGCCAAAAAATTTTTTAATAACAATAATAAATAAAATAAATTTTAAAAAAATGAACGAAGCAAAGAATGCAACATATTATTAAATGTGGAAGCTGACGATTAACATTTTTTTTAGAACTCGTTTGGTGCTTAATCAAAAGTTAATTGAAATTTTTAACCACAGATCTGTGGCAATTTCAAGTTGTCTATGCAGCCGTGACACGTGCCTAGAGTCAGTTTCTGTGTATCTCTATTGATATGCTCTCTTTGCCACATTTAGGAAGGAATGATCCAGTCATATGAATTAAGAATTAAAGAATAACATCTATCAGTGCAAAACCAATACATTTTGCCACATAACTGGACATATGTAAAAAACAAGCTGAATACAAGTGAAAAAGAGATGAGAACACAATATAAGGAACAAGCAGAAGGGCAAACAAATTCTCCCAGAACATATAGAAACCAACCTCAGGTAATATAAATGCAAGAAAACAACCAGGAAATAAGACAATGCAGATTCAGCAGAGATGCTACAATTCAGTCTATGCAAGGAAAAACAGATAAAAATGAATCAATAAGGACAGTTTTCAAGTATGTTCTTTCCAGCCATGCACACATGGGTAGCAATGCACACATGGGTAGCAATGCATTTAGTAAGAGTCACAAGAGCAAAAGGAGGTGGGGTGGATGGGGGATATAAAAAATGAAACCGATAAATCAGGCAAGTATCCCCAGTTAACTCTGAGACTGATCAGAAATAAACAAAAAATAAATAGCAAAAAGAAAAAAATCCTATGGGCCATTTACTAAAAGCTCAAATAAACTCATCCTGACAAATCTGTTACACATGCAGCCAAGTTCTCCACCTTACAAAAGATAGGATGGGTAACCAGAAAAAAAGGCACAAAGAAGTCAAGCAGCAAAGACAGGATAAATGCTCTACAAACAGGCCCTTCCTTTGTAAATGATACTATTTTTCATTCTGGATCTAAAATCCAAAAGGAGGTATCTATTTACTTAATGTCAGAAAGAGGTCTTCTGATTAAAAAAAAAAAAAAAAAAATCAGCACAGCCATGAAGACAAAGTGATGAGTTCCCATTCCAACTCAATCCTAATCCTCCAAATCCTAGGAATTATACCCCATCTGGTATCAAAGATACACTTGTTTTAACAGTGTACATCTGTTGACTTCAGGCAAATCAGAGCTTTAAAAATCTGATACTGAGCAGATTGCAAGGGCCAGATGATATCTTTCAACGTTTTTGTATCTCTTTCTAACATTAGTATGGTCAGTTATCCACTAATGTTTAAGTGGAAAACTTGTTAAAAAAAACACTATGGGCTTTCCTGGTGGCGCAGTGGTTGAGAGTCCGCCTGCCGATGCCGGGAACACGGGTTCGTGTCCCGGTCCGGGAGGATCCCACATGCCGCGGAGCGGCTGGGGCCGTGAGCCATGGCCGCTGAGCCTGCGCGTCCGGAGCCTGTGCTCCGCAACGGGAGAGGCCACAAAAGTGAG